ACAGCTATGTTGTTTTTTCCCCTAAATTTGGTCTTACCGCTTTTTTGTCAAACACTTGCTCCTGTAAAGCACCCAGGCCGAACATTTTCAGCCCGGGTCGCTCGGGGGCTCCATGAGGGTACAATACTAAATACTACCTCTCTTTTTTACTATCATATGGTAAAAAATTCTGAACAAAAGGGCATTCCTTTGATTACCCTACGTAACTTTGTTCTTACTTCTACCGAACGCACCCCACCACGACCTACGGTTACGAGCAGCCGAGCCCCACGGGCCATGCCTAGGTTCTTAAAAGCTGCAGCCTTTGGAACAATCAAGCATGTGCGAAAAAAGAAAGGATAAAAAACAAAGCTATGCTAGGATAAAAAAACAAGGAACAGATAGTGATTCTATCACAAAAAATAGAACTGATGTATTCATTGATACAAAAATTATTCCCACGGAGGCTCCCCCGCTAACTTAACGATTACATTTGCTGACTAATTCTACTCCAAATACTATTGTGGCCGCTCGACGACATCGCCTGACGACAAAGGAGAAGCCACGGCACACGCCGCCAGACATAACCACCACCGGAAGGGCCCCGCCCGGTTCCGCTCCCTTGACTTCGGTGAGGGCAACGGGTACCTCAAGGGACCCGCCCGGTTCTGGTCCCTCAACTTTGGTGAAGCACAACGGGTACCTCAAGGGCGTCGCACCCATAGATGCTCAGCAGAAGAGTATGGAGCTCCTGACCTTCTCATGTAGTCAAGGCAGCCCCTAGGTAGGGACGCTGCCCGCCAAGGTATGGTCGCCGTGGTTGGAAGACATCTCATCAAACTTTATGAACTGGCCAACCTAAGCAGCTGCAGGCGTGAAACCCTCCACCAGCACGGTCCTGGGCAACTTCCCCTCCGACAAGGCTCGCCCAAGTGAAGATCCATCGGAAAGAGTCCACGCACGGCTCCATCCCAAAAAAGGCCTCGTAGATGAATCCAGCGCGCCACCTCCTTCGGCGAAAGTTGCCCCTTCTTAAGCAAAGATGGCCAGAACCACCACGGGTAGCCTCCAGCTCAACATTGCGCTCTGGATTCATGAAGAGATCTGTGAGTCCTCCACCTCGCTTACCCTCCCTCTCACTTAGGAACCGTCGCGACATACAGGCACTCTCGGTGAGGACGAAGAAGGAGGAGAGGCAATAGTTGGAAAACAGGCAAAGGACTGTAATGAGAAGCCCTCTCCATATTTAAGGAGGAAACACGACAGCTGAAGAAGGGCAAAGGATTAGAGCAAAAAACTCTCTCCCTTCCCCCATTCAATACGGATGGGAAACGATGGGACGTGCCCTGACCGATGGGACGCACACTGACCGACAAAATGACGCCTGGTCAGATGGAACAGCGCCTGATCAGACGAGACGTGGCCTGGGTATGGCCCACCACTACCGCATGACCGGGCGTGAGAATCAAAGCGCCACCACGCGTAGGCGGCTCTCCACCTTCCCAGGCGAGACTTGGAAAAACTCAAACAACGGGATCTCCTCCAGAGAGAGACCTTCGGGCTTCCTAAGTCGATTGAACGGCTCAGGAAAACACCGAGAGATAGGTAAGGAGCAAAGGGACGCCCCATGTGGGCCATGCCGTCTCCGTCACGAACGACGAGCATGGGTCCCGGTCGGACATTTTTTATTGCAGCTCTTCAAAACCTCGTCACTTGAGTCATCAAGGTAACATTACCGACCCTCGCTATTTCTTTATACAATCATTCATACTTCCATACACGCATTCATTCCATATGCCCGTGTCCCCCGAACGATTCGGGCCCGAATCGCCTGGGGGCTCGGGAACTAAGGCATCGCACATGCGGCTAAAATACATCACAATGCTCCGTGTTGCGTCATGAAGCGGCAGTTGCCTCATTCAACATGAGCAACGATCGACCGGGGTTCGAAGGCCGGCCCACAAAGGGCTCGAGGCCGCCTCGCGTCAAACAGAGCCAGGGGAGAAAAACGCAGATGAGCCCCGTGCGGCCCTCGCCCAGTCTGCACCGAAGCGGACAGGGTCATCTCAACCTTCTCGTTCGATCCTAAACCTCTGCCAAACCCACAGAATCTTCATTGAGGGGAGGCCAGCGGGCCACCTAGATCGGTCTCCGAAATGACCCAGGCATCTGCCGGGTTGTAGGTAAAGGAGCAGTGGAATGTCACAAGAGGGCTATGCCAACCCCGTCACAAACGACGGACCCGGATTCCACTCGATCATATCCGTTAGCAAGCTCACTGAGCGTGTCACTCAAGCCCGAGCGAATCGAGGCAAGCGACAAAACTCAGCCCCTCCGGTTGTGAGAAACCGAGGACAGGGTAACGCACAAAACTCAAAACCGACCCCTACCAAGCCCAACGGGGCTCAAGGGCACAAGACACCCAAAACTAACTGCCTCGGCTGTGCGGGCTGCACCAACGCCAGGATCCACGAGCTCTGTCTCGCCTGATCCCAAAACTAACTGCCTCGGCTGTGCGGGCTGCACCGACGTCAGGATCCGTGAATCCGTCTCGCTCGATCCCAAAACTAACTGCCTCGGCTGCACGGGCTGCACCGACGCCAGGATCCGTGAGTCCGTCTCGCCCAATCCCAAAACTAACCACCTCGGCTACGCACGGCACCTTGGTTAACGACTCTATCTCGACTAAAATGCACACACACGCCCGCTGACAAAACCCCCCAGGCGATTCTGCCCGAATCACCCGGGGGCTCGGGGTCTACACCCGCGGGTGCGCTCGCGTGCATCCGCTGACAAAACAAAACTTCCCCCGCTGGCAACACAAAAAAACCCCAGACGATTCTACCCGAATCACCCGAGGGCTCGGGGGCTACACCCGCGGGTGCGCTCACGCGCAACCGCCGTTAAGACAAAAATCCCTCAGACAATTCTACCCGAATCGTCCGGGGGCTCGGCGGCTCCTGTCGAGTTCATAAACCCGGGGTCCCTCATGGACCGACTTCCTAAATAAAAGCTCAGTCCAACAGACAACGTTGCGAGCAAACACGCAACTGATGGGCCAGCCCAAATACCTAGACGATAGGCCAGAAGGGCGATCCAAGCTCCGACCGGAAAGCCTGGCCAAGGAGGAACGATGCCTGCCTCCGACTCTGGTCCGCCTCTCCGACCGGAGCGCTCGCTTCGGTCTCCAGCCCACCTTCGGATGGCCCCTTCGACCGGAAGACCTAGCCAGAACCCCACTTCCGACTCCAACCCGCTTCTTCGACCGGGGGTGCACTGAGCCCCTGCTTACAGCTCCACTCCAATTGGCGCAATCAGAGCCAACTGGAACCAACCGACCAGGGACTCCCGCTCGGTAAAGAACCAGGAAACGGACGAAGAAAGTAAGGCAGCGCATTCAAGTCAACCGCAATACCAAGAACCGTACCATGTACTCCTGCAGGACAGTACCATGCGACCTCCCTGGCATGACAGAACGCAAGCAGTGTTGTAGGCGCCGATATTTTCCCCTACAGTGTTGTGGGCGCCATCAACTCCCATACCAGATAAATACGGTAAGACTCCCCCACGTGCCTCTATGGCATCGACAGTGTTGTAGGCGCCGGTATTTACCATACCAGGCGAACATGGTAAAAACCCCTCACATGCCTCTAGACATCAACAGTATAGCAGGCACCGACATCTGTCATACCGGAAGAAGACGACGCAATCTCCCACGTGCATCTGACATTTAATAGTATTGTGGGCGCCTACCATCATCTCGCACCCGCCGGCATGAGCAACAAGACTTGGTGAATATACGCACTCTCTCCCTCTCACTTGTAAGGTCATCCCCTTCATCTATAAAAGGGGTGCGCTCTCTCCAACACAACTCAGTTGATTCAGATCGATCAGTTTACTAGAACACAGCAAAAGAACCACCAGGTTCAAACCACGAGCACACGCTCGAACACATATCACATAGCGGAGCTCCCGTCACTCTCGGCCCCTCTGACCAGAGTTCGATCGGACCTCTTGTATCCCCATCTTTCTCCTTCTCGTTTGTAACCCCACTGCAAACTTCGAGTACCTGGGCTCAGGAATAAAGTCACCGACTGACTCAAACCGGACGTAGGGCTCGTTGTCTGAACCAGTATAAACCCTGTGTCATTGAGTGCTATGACACCTCCGATGACGACGTACGGCAAAACTATAAATATTTACGTGTTTGTCACTTTCTGCACCGACACATAGCATCTTATGAAATATAGAAAATAAAAAATTAAACATAAAAAATAATCAAGTAAGGTAAAATAGAAAAATAGAAAATTAAAAAAGAAAAGAAAAATCACATGAAACGAAAAAGAAACAAAATATTTTTTTTAAGAAACAAAATAAAAAATTAATAAGAACACGAAAGCGAAGAAAAAGAAAATTAAAAAGAAATAAAAGAAACATAAAAATGAAAATGAAAAGAATAATAAAAACATATAAAAAATAAATATAAATAAAAATGAAGCGTGAAAACAAAAAAGAAAAGGGAAAAGAAAAGAAAAGAGAAAGAAAAAGAAAAAGAAAAAGAAAAGAAATAAAACATACGTACCTACCTACCTGAACGAAAAAGAAAAAGAAAAAAAAAGAAAGAGAAAAAAGAAAACATACATACCTACCTACTGGACGCTGCCGGAAATCCCGTGCCCAGCAGGCAGAGCGCGCTCGCTCGTGCATGCACCGCGTTTCTTGTTCATGTCGGACTCGAACAACCAATCTCCTCAGTCGGATTCCCGGCCAACATGGCCATAAGCCGGCGTCCCATCGATCGCGTTCTACGAATTCGTGTACGACTCGAACAACCAATCTCCTTAGTCGATTCGTGTTCGCGACGACGATCGATATAAAGCCCGGTGTCCCATCGTCCCTGTCCCATACTCCCTCCCATCGATCATTAGCGAGCCATCAAGACCCTTTCCTCAGCGCCTATCTCGAGAGCTTTCCTAGTTCCCTTCCCTGCAGCCAATCCAAGCGCACGCGCCGCAGCGGTGATGGCGCTCCGCCGGTGGAAGCCTTTCTTCCCGGCGTTCGGCGCCATCGACACCGCCATCGAGGCCGCCACCGAGGGCTGTTCCCGGGACAAGTACCGCCAAGTGAGGAGCGACCTCGTGGAGATGCTCTGCGACTGCGATGCCGCGGGCAGCGACGACGACGTTCGAGCGGAGGGGCTCTGCCGGCTGCTCGACAGGGCCATGGCCGAGGCGCTTCTGACGCTGCGGGCGGTCCCGGTCCCGGTGACGCCGACCATGCTGGCGGCCACCGACGTCGCCAAGGCCGTCAGTGGCTTGCTGAGGCACGAGGCCGGATGGGTGCGCGCCCTCGCGCGCGGCATCTTGGCCCAGTGGAGTTCGTCGATCGAAGCCGAAGCCGAAGGCGCCGCCTTGGACACGCTGTTGCAGATATTGTGTGAGCACGAGGTGGCCGCTCCAGTCACCGGAGGATGCGTCAGCAGCGGCGGCCCTGAGATGATAGTTCTTCAAGCAGATAGTATCAAGCAAGCCGCCAAGATCTCAGACCTGGAGTGCCCCAAGAAGATGCCTCCTGGCGTTTCCATTGCAGGCAGCGATCGCGTCAGGAACGAGCAGACAGGGGATGCGAAGCGCAAGCACCCAGGGCCAGGAGCAGGAGGCTGCTACCGAGAAGCTGATGACGTGAAGCGGCAACGCAAGGTCCCTGAGATGGTCGAGCACAGGCCGAGGGAGATGGAGCCGGCCATGAAGAGTAGAAGCCGAGTTAGCAGCTGGAGATCGACGGACGAGAGGCACTTCTCGACGTCGACGCGTCATAGGAGGGTTTAGGGCTGTGTGAGAATCCAGGGTTGTCCATCTTTTGACCTTGTTTATGCTTTTTTTTCCCTGCTGATGATGTCAAGAAGTCAGCTGCTGTATTCTGAATGTGTAAAAATACTACAAACTCTTATTCTTGTTGAGCATGCATCCTGTTCGTTCATTTCTGATCAAAACCTTTATGCAACTGTTTTAATCAGCATGCATCGTCTTCATCAATCAGTAAGAAAAGATCCGAGAACCAGATTGGGATAATTGGATCCCACCGAGATCGTGTTCTTTCGCAATTGCAGCTTAGTATTTGTCCTTCTCTACTGATGGCAATGCCTCGACGATCAGATTTGAAGAACCCGTAGTAGCGGAAATAGGTTCGGCTGGAGAACCTGTATCAGTCAGGATCTGAAGCCATGCATAAGGGCGGTTCGACTAATCTTTGCCAAGCACCGGGAATGCCCAGATTACACAGCACTGATGATTCAAGTTAGGAAATCCAAGATCCTGCTTATAAACCACACAAATGCATTCTATAGGTTTGCACGGGAAAGAATGCCCAGATTACACAACCTCATTCACCCAATAATGCTTATTCACTCTTCAGGTTTAGTAAACTGGGGTGCATTTTTCAGCTCATGTACAGTACAGGCGTGACAAATATCTTCAAACTCCAGAGACCTGTAGCGCCATCTTCTCCCAGGCTCGCACATAAACCTGTAGCGCACACTGCAAATTGGCCCATCTGCAATCAGCACGATAAAATAACCACAGCTCAAACTCCACAGAGAACATACTCACAAACTCACAACATTCTGACCATAACTCGGAATGCACAATTGATCGGAGTGGCTCTCTTTTATTCCCATTTTGCTAGCCAAGCACAATGCCGGATTTGAACCATTGGGCCATCCAAACACACTAGGCAAAGCTGAACAAAATAGTTCAGGCTCGGCCCTGGAGATCTCAATGCTTCTGAAGCATGTCCCTGAACCAGTAGGCCGACGCCTTCGGGTGCCGTTCGAGCGTGTTGAAGTCAACGTAGACGATGCCAAACTTGGACGAGTATCCAGACAGCCACTCGAAGTTGTCAAGGAGAGACCAGGCGAAGTAGCCAGCCACGTTTGCGCCCTGATCTATGGCTTTCTTCAGCTGGCTGATGTAGCTTCTGTAGAACCGCACCCTTGTGGCATCGCGCAGGTACTGGTCACGCGTCAAGTTTCCAGGCTGATCCATTCCTGGTAACACAGAAAAAAGATTGATATATGATTCCCTTGCTATGCAACGTGTTCATGTGAAACGTGGAATAAGAGATATGGAATTCTGTTGAGTACCATTCTCGGTTATGTAGACAGTTGGATTCCCATACTTCTCCTTGAGGTAGTTCACACATCCGTACATCCCCGTCGGGACGATGTAAAGCCAATTAGAATTTGCCTACATGTCCATGCATTGGTTAGCAAGGATTTATTTCAGTACTTTTGAATTTGTAGCTGATGGTAGCATAATAACGTTGAGAAAGAGTAAATGGAGGAACTGCATACCTGTGGCCCAATTGGTTTGCCATTGCATGCAACTACAAAATTTATGGGACGAATGTTTAGGTTAGGTGAAAAAACATCTAATGCAAATATATTTATACAAAATATAGTGTTTAAGGCAAGAAACTCACAAACATATTGAACCTGCCAATCGGCAGAGTAGCTACTGGGCGTCTGCTGTACCAATTTCTGTCCCTTCATGTAGCTGGCTGTGTATTCATTGATACCAATGTAGTCTGCCGAGCCCTTGACCAACTTAGCTTGCTCAGGAGTGAACCTGGGCAGCCTCTCTTTCACAAGATCTTGCATTATCTGTGGATAATGTCCATTTATCAATGGATCAACAAACCTGCATCAGATGTAACAGTTAACTATAGTATCACTTGCAGTTTTCATTTATCAAAACTTAGGTTCTGACAGAGGATGTAGCCTACCAGCCAATGTGGAAGTCCCTAGCTCTTTGGGCCGCTGCTTGGTCATCAGGTGAGTTTGTAAGAGCTTCATACCAATTGAAGTCCAGGACTATTCCAACCTTACCCTTCTGAGAAGCCTATGTATTGAAAACATTATGCCACTCTTCCATCAGCAATTTTAAATCCAAGAAGTAATTGAGATTCGACAGGTATGTCCAACTATTTAGGAAAACAAGCTAGTGCATTTAGTGAAGAATAGAGTTATAAATAGGAAAGTATGTTGAGCATTGTTCCAAGCATATATAGACCCTGCCACGTTTCATTTAATTCAATAAAAATAAATTTTGGACCGCACACTTCATTGAATAAAATAACATCAGTGTAGCACTCCTAGTTTTATTTTCAGGGGCTTTTGAGATCCTCAAGAAGAAATTACCTGATATTTTGCACGGTATCTTGCAACTGCAGCAGCATGTGCCAAGAGAAAATTATGGGCAACAATATAAGGTTCGGTTGCTGAATTCCCGCCGGCAGCACATTTGGTGCACCTTTGAGGAGGATTTGACCCCGTGTCATAGCCAAGTAGGGCTACTATCCTTGGCTCATTGAATGTAAACCAGTGCTTTACGCGATCGCCGTAGGTCTTAAAAATGAAGTCAGCATAGTCTGTAAACAGGTCCCTACAAAACAAATTGTATACATATATAAGTATAAAATACGTGCCTAGGCACGGTCCTGAAAACATATACAAGTATAATCTGGTATTTCTATTTCTATATCCTGTGAAATTAGAGCTATAGCGCGACACATTTAGCAAGGCTAACATATAATTTCTAGAGTGCTTCTGTGTTGTGTATTCTTCTTTTGGGAAAACACAGAAAGTTGAAACACATCCATAATATGACCAGATATAAACATCAATTAATTTTTACACTGACTTACGCCATCTTAGCGCTTAACCACCCTCCATATTTCTTCTCAAGCGCAAGAGGAAGATCGTAGTGGTAAAGGTTGATGTAAGGAGTCATGCCTGCCCAGTTGTCAAGAAGGGACGTTCAGATATGTTTACATAGGTAATAGGTTCCAATGAACATCTCAGAGGTAGAAGTATCCAATTCCAACTTATGTATTACCTTTCTGAAGCAGATAGTTTATCAAATTATTGTAATATGCTACACCTTCTGGATTGACTTTCCCCTCGCCATCTACATAATCCAAAGATGCATCAGGCTATCAGCAGTAGTAACACCCAAAAACTCATGTTTGCGCTATCATGTTACAACTTAAGTCAAATTTATTTACCTGGGAAGATCCTGGACCATGAGATTGAAAACCGGTAGGCATCAAAATTCAAACTTTTCATGAGATCAACATCTTCCTGTAGAAGAACAAAAGAATTAATCATAAAGCCACAAAACTCTCTTATATCTCAGCGTAGATCGGTTTATCTACTTCTCATAGTCAGGTACCTTGTAGCGATGGTATTGATCCACTGCAACGTCTCCATTTTGATTCCCCGCAATATTTCCTGTTCATTGCAACAAAACAGAAATAGAAAATCTCAATGAGGCTGCAGTGCAACACTGCAACAAGCTGAATAGTTGACCACAGTTAATGAGAATCAAAGATGCATAGATCTCAATATTTTGTTGTCCGACATTCCGTAGTTGGTTTATAGATTTTTGCCTAGACCCATCTCTTGCACCCCACCCCCAATGACGTCAAGTACTGCTTATCATCTAATCAAGTAGCCACTTGCTCTAATTGTCTCACATTCGGAGATCCAATCCAACCCGTAATCAACGCCTGTTTAGCTATGGTAATTCAGACGCGCGGTTGTTGCAACACTGATACGGCAACGGACGTGGGTGGATACTGGATAACCAGTACCTGGATCCATGCTTCCTAGGACTACCCCGCTTACGCATAAGATTTCCTCACTCCCGTGCCAGGCTGCCAGCCGAAGCAGTCAAGCAGAGTTGAGCGTAAAGCGAAGCGAAGCAGTACCTGGGACGTGCGCGAATGAATCCCAGATGGAGGGGCCCCGGCCATTGGTGGACGCGGCGCCCTCGACCTGGTACGCCGACGTCGCCGTCCCGAACACGAACCCCTTGGGGAACGACGCGCGGCTCAGCCCGCCCAGCCAGTTGGCGCCCTTCGCCCCAGCGGCGCAGACACCGCCGCCGCCGCCGCCGCCGCTGGCGACCAGCAGCGCGAGCAGCACCGCCCACCGAGCGTCCATCTCGCTCCGCGGGCGCGCGCGGCCGCCGGCGATTGACCGCGGCAGTGGCAGCTCGCAGTTCGCTCACACCCCCACCGGCGTCACCGCGTCAGCCAGCACAGCACAGTAGCAGAGGCGCAGCAGGCCTTGAGCGCTAGACTGTGCTGGCGCACTAGCTGGCGTGTCCCTATTTGTTGCTGCTCACGTCGCCTCTCAGCATTGAGTAGTGTCGCGTGTCGCCTGTCGCCTGTCGGTGCGGTGGATCGAGGCATCTCTGTGCGTGGGGCCCGGCAAGCGCACGACCGGAGCCGGTGATTACCTCGCGTTCCCGGGTGGGCCGCGCTTGTCTCCTGCCGTCCTCGGCTGTTCGATTGATGAAGCGTTAGTGCCGGGAATGGCGGGCGGTTCACGACGCATGTCGGTTTTCGGTGGATGGCGTGTCGCTATCCTTTTCTCAGGGAATCGGGGCGGCGCGGCGCGCCGCATGCATCTGCGCATGTGCAGGGAGGCGTCCCGTTCGTCGGTGCGGCTGGCCACGGAAAACGGTACGTTCCCCGAAGGATCGAACATGTCCTGGTGCGCGCGTTGCTCAACTGGCTGTTTTGCATGGTGACAAAACAGGCGGTTGTCGTGCAGCCATCGAGCAATCATTCGCGCGTGTTCCGTTTTAATCATCGGCCACTTTGGAGTATTTATATTAATCCATTGGAGCGTGGTAAGAGCAACTATAATAGAAGGCTATTAGCAGACTGCATGTCAATGTGGAGGGAAAAAAGAAAGAAAGAGAAGAAATCCAGCTAAAGTTTGTGGCTGGCTGAAATAGGAAATCAAGAAACTATGAAAAATCCTGCGCCCTAATTTACTAATAAGTAAGCCGTAAGGAACTACTGCTAACTAAAGGCTGTATTATGCTTAATAGGCTATGGAACATACATCGACGTCATGAATAGTACTACGCAGATATCACTGACGAAAGGTAATCTAGCTAAGCGAGAGTGTTGTTGCTTTTATCACAGGAATGAAACAATTAAGCATATGCTTTTCAAATATCGATTTGCTCGTGCTACCTGGGTAGCTGTGCACGTAGCTACAGGCCTTCTTCAACCTTGTAGTTACTACCTAGTGAGTTTGAAAGTTGGTTACCAACTTAAGGATGTTTGGTTTCTGCTCTAATAGAGTATTATGCTCTAATAGGCTATGGAACATACATCGACGTCATATGAATAATTACAAAACTAATTGCAGATATCATTTACGAAAGGTAATCTAGCTAATTAGTCCATGATCCGAGTATTGTTGCTTTTATCACAGGAATGAAACAATTAAGCATATGCTTTTCAAATATCGATTTGCTCGTGCTACCTGGGTAGTTGTGCACGTAGCTACAGGCCTTCTTCAACCTTGTAGTGTACCTAACATGTTTGAAAGTTGGTTATGACGTTTAAGTAAGGACTTTATACTGCTAGTCATGTTGGGAGCTGGTGCCATTTATTGGTTGCTTTGGTTATACATGATATATATAATTTTTTAAAGAAAAGGTGTTTCTGACTGCAGGTTATCTATACTACAGAGATTGGTTTCCTAGGATTTTATTGTGGTGGTCTGTCTATAGATAGCAAAGGTGGCCAAGTAATGTATTTTTTGCAAGCACATGGGTGACGATATCGTCTTGATTAATACTAGTATGTTTGTATTTTTTTTAAATATTACAAGCCATGTGCATCCTGATATGCAGAGGTCGAGAGTGCTTTCAAGATACTCGAGGGGATGATCTTGAATCATAATAAAAGCTCCCTTTATCGAAAAAAGATATCACTACGATAATTTTTCTAATCATAGTACTATGCAGATATTTATATACACACACTCAATTATATGAATGCATAAATCTCGAGATTGACGAAGCCATATATATACATGTTCACCCCTATGTACGCTGACACACACCTTCGAAATACTGATCCGGCAGATCTCAAACACCTTTGAAATACAACACCCTACCACCACCTTTCCCTATGAACACCTCTAAAATACTGTGACTGAGTTGCTAGATCTCGAAATTGATGAAATATTGAGACTGAGAAAGTCACCATAGGCACCTCGCTATTGACGTGCACGTCGACAACCATTGAAAGAACAACATCGACTACTACTGAAAGAATAAAAGCGTTAACAATTATTACATTGTGTAGTGTAAATTTCATATAAGTTTGTGTAAGTTTGTATTCAACCTACTTGCAAAATCTGTTATGTGGTCAAAGATATGCATCAAAGACTGAAAAATCAAGTATGGTAGGCACACAGAATTAGTCACATTGATACGATATGTCCCTCTTGGAGACGCAGCATGTATTCAAAATGAACATGTTGCTGGTGTCCACAACAAATTATTAAGCCGGATAAAGTATCCACAAACAGTGAAGACGGATGATAGCAGAAAACACAAGGATCCAGACAGATAAAACACAATTAGCATGGAACGCGCAAATTGGTTTTCCGTTTATCATCTTTTACTCCCATTTTGCACTGAGCTGGTTTACAACTTTTGGTAGAATAATATGGCCAGCTAATTAAATGGAACTGTAACTACTTCAGGCTTGGTCGTTAGAGGCTCAGTGTTTCTGAAGCATGTCTCTGAACCAGTAGGCTGACGCCTTGGGGTGTCGTTCGAGCTTGGGCGTGCTGAAGTTGACGTAGACGATTCCAAACTTGGACGTGTAACCTGACTGCCACTCGAAGTTGTCAAGGAGAGACCAAGCGAAGTAGCCAGCCACGTTTGCGCCGTCATCAATGGCTTTCTTCAGCTCAGCGAGGTAGCCTTTGTAGAATTGCACCCTTGTGGTGTCGTGCAAGCATGGGCGGACTCAACAGTGGAGCCCCGTACCGATACCGGAGCTGTGGAGCCCCCCTAGAGCCCCCTCTAAATTTTTAGGGCAAAGTTCTACTGTGTAGGTGAGGCTGAGAATTAAGATCGGAGGTACACGACGACGTTCTCGCGAGTTGGGCTGGCCAGCAAGGCAGCAACATCAATTCATTTGGCCCGACGTTCTCGCGAGTTGGCCCATAAAGTTAATTCCACTAGTCCAGGCCCAAGGACAAGTCCACTAGTCCAGGCCCAAGCAGCCCAAGGACAGCCTGCCCAAGGATGAAGGCCCAAAAAAAAACCTATTCCCCATCCAACTTCCAGAGAGCATCGTGAATCACCGGTTGCGTGCTTGTGCTTCGGCCTCTGGCGGCGGCAGGCGGGGAAGCGAGAGCAGGCGGACTGCGTCGCGCCGTCGCCCCTTCGCGGCGGCCGGCGGCGGCGTGCAGCCAGCGCGCGGGCCCGGCGAGCGGCAGGCGGCCAGGCGTGGCCGCGCGTCCGCGCAGGCAGCGGTAGCGGGCCGTGCAAGTACTGCTCACGGGTCAAGTTTCCAGGTTGATCCATTCCTGGTAACATAGAAACAATATTGGTATATGTATCCCTTGATATGCAACGCATTTCATGTGAAATGTGCAATGGTGAGATGTGAGACTGTACTAATGAGTACCGTTCTCAGTTATGAAAACTGTTGGATTTCCATACTTCTGCTTCAGACAGTTCACACAACCATGCATCCCCGTTGGGACAATGTAAAGCCAATTTGAATTCGCCTGATATTGAAAAGCTAATCAGGATATCACAAACTAGCGAGTTATTTCTTAATTCACCAGCACTGAGACACTGATGGCGTGTAATGTGTACTGTGTAGTGCTCCCTCCATTCTAAATTATAAGTCATTTCAACTTTTTTGGAGAGTCAAAGGATCTTAAGTTTGACCAAAATTATAGAAAGAATTACAAAATTTATTACATCACGTATGTATACTATGAAAATATAATTAATGAAAAATCTAATGATACTTATTTGATTTTATAAATGTTATTATTTTATTATATAAATTCGGTCAAAGTTGAGATGTTTTGACTTTTCAAGAAAGTTGGAATGACTTATAATTTGGAATGAAAAGAGTACTAGTTTACTGGATGATGTTTGCAAATGCTGAAGTGAATAAGAACTACATACCTGTGGTCCAATTGGTTTGCCGTTCCGTTCTACTGCATAATTTAGGGGACGAATGCTCAGGTGAAAAATATCTAAATTTAGGTAAAACTTGGGTTTGAGGCAAGAACTCACAAGCATATTGAACCTGCCAATCAGCTGAGTAGCTAGTAGGCTTATCTAAATTTAGGTAAAACTTGGGTTTGAGGCAAGAACTCACAAGCATATTGAACCTGCCAATCAGCTGAGTAGCTAGTAGGCTTCTGCTGGAGCAATTTCTGGCCCTTGATGTAGCTAGCTGTGTATTGATTGATCCCAATGTAATCCGCTGAGCCCTTCACCAATTTAGCTTGCTCAGGAGTAAACTTGGGTAGCCTCTCTTTCACAATATCTTGCATCGTCTGTGGATAATGTCCATTTATTAATGGATCAACAAACCTGCATCAAATGCAATTATTGATGATATTAGAACTTGTACTTTCCCTACATGAAAACTCAGGTCTTGACAAAGGATACTTGCATAGCTTACCAACCAACATGGAAATCCCTTGCTCTTTGAGCCGCTGCTTGGACTTCAGTTGAGTTTGTGAGAGCTTCGTACCAATTGAAGTCCAGAACTATTCCAACCTTTCCTTTCTGAGCAGCCTACACTTCGAAAATTTTATTTTATCAGCAATTTAAACCAGAAAATGTTAATTATTACATATATAGCAAATTGGACAGGCTAGCTATTGCATGCCTTTTGCGGTTTACATGACCAATTAGTTATGGAAGGAATCTGTTGCATTTTTTGAGTGAGGAATAGAATTGAAACATTATAAAGTATGTTGAGCATCGTTCCAAAGCATATAGACCCGCAACATTTCATTTCTTAAAATTTACTTTTGGACTGCACAGTTCATGTAGTAAAATAAGATCAAATTTTGTACTGTACTCCAGATTACTGATTACTAACATAGCACTTCAAGAACAGATCTATAAGATTTTTTGTCCAGGGTAATTCTATGAGATATTAAGTAGAATATACCTGATACTTATTACGGTATCTTGCCACTGCAGCAGCATGTGACAACAGAAAATTATGAGCGACGATATAAGGTTCCGTTGCTGAATTCCCACCAGCAGCACATTTGGTACACCTTTGAGGAGGAATCGACCCACCATCATAACCAAGTAGTGCTACCATCCTTGGCTCATTGAATGTAAACCAATGCTTTACACGATCGCCAAAAGTCTTAAAACAGAAATCGGCATAGTCTGTGAATAGTTCCCTACAAAACATTATATAGAAGTGTAAATAAAATCTGTTTTTTCTTCCTGCTATTTTTTTTTGAAATAAATTTTTCTCCCTGCTAAGACTTGTGATACGAGGGATATAGCATGTCACATTTTGCAAGGATAAAATAAATTAAACAGAGTGCATCTATACATTGTGCAGTCTTCTTTTGGGAAAATATAGAAACACTTTCATATTCATAATTATCTATCTGGCCATGTTCGCTTGTCTTAAAAATGGCTTGTTCGGCTTCTTTTTTCAGCCGGAACAGTGTTTTTCTCTCACAACAATTCAGCCGGAACAGTGTTTTTCAGCCAGTTTCAGCCAAGTTTCAGACCAGCGAACGGTGTTTGTAGGGATTAGGACGCTAGGAGTTACATTTAAGACTCAGTAACAAATCTCAGCACATGAACAGATAGAAATTTAATTAATTTTAGACTGACTTAAGGGCCTGTTTAGATTTCAAAAAATTTTACGCAGTACCCATCACATCGAATCTTGCGGCACATGCATGGAATACTAAATGTAGACGAAAAAAAAACTAATTGCACAGTTGGATGAGAAATCGCGAGACGAAACTTTCGAACCTAATTAGTCTATAATTAGACACTAATTGCCAAATACAAACAAACAGGCTACAATACCCAAAACCAAAAAAAATTTGGCATCTAAACGCGGCCTTACGCCATCTTGGGGTTTAGCCATCCTCCATATTTGTTCTGAAGTGCAAGAGGAAGATCGGAGTGGTAAAGATTGGCGTATGGAGTAATGCCTGCTCAGTTTTCTAGGAGACATTCAAACATGAGCGAATGTGGGTTCCAACCGAAGCCTCAGATGTCGAATTTGCTCCAACTTGAGCTTGTACCTTTCTGAAGCAGGTAGTTTATCAAATTGTTGTAATAGGCAACACCTTCTGGATTGACTCTTCCCTCACCATCTACGTAAACCAAAGATGCGTCACCACCGGTGTTAAACCTAAAAGAACTTGTGCTCCTAGTCGACTACCATGGTAAGTACAACCAGCGACAGAGCCAGCAGTGGGGGTGGGGGGCTCTAGCCCCCCTACCAATCATGGGCACGTGGAGCCCCTCTAAGTTCTCCCTTAAAATTTTATGCATATATATATTTGGTAGAAAGGGTTAAGGTTAAGAGAAGATAAAAAAAACCTCTATTCTTTTGTTCAGCCTTTCATAATTTTTTTACGGCTTCATTGTCGCCATTTGAGAACTTGCAACAGTGTTGGCAATACAAAGTTCTCCAAGAGGTATACAACTGAACTTAAAATCTGTCTCTCTCTCTCTCCCCCACCCCAAAAAATAGTACAACTTAGCTCAGATTTATGTACCTGGGAAGATCCTGGACCACGAGATTGAGAAGCGGTAGGCATCAAAATTCAAACTTTTAATGAGGTCAACATCTTCCTGTAGCATGTCAAAGCCTGTTCGTACTTGTTCACCTTGATTTTCTTATTGTGCTGATTTTCAACTTCAGCTTTAAATATTTTGAATTTATCCAATGCTTCCGAACCATAACCAAATAAACAAACTTTTCACGGAAAAGTTTTCTCTCAAAACAATACATTGCTCTAAATCTGAAAATTCTAAGTGCGGGAAATTCCTTAACCAATCGTTCCATTCTCTCCCTCGAAATATGGCCCAAACGACAATGCCATAATTTCCAAATTCTGTTAAATCACATACCAAAGACCAAAGCCAACCAATTATTAACCAAGATCTTACCTAAGTATATATAAGGCTAACTAACAAACTTTCTTTTACTTCAAATTTCACCAGCATAAAACCTAGATGGATTCTAGCATTTACTACATCTCATTTGCCATATAATAAGTAGCAGTACCCTGTAGCGATGATATTGAGGGCGCGAAATGAAATTTTTTGAATGTCACAGCGAATGTTTCGGGGATATCGGAAAGAGTTTTCGGATACTAATAAAAAAAACTAATTATATAGCTCGCCTGGAAACTGCGAGACGAATTTATTAAGCCTAATTAATCTATCATTAGCGCATGTTAGTTAATGTAGCACTTATGGCTAATCATGGACTAATTAGTCTTAAAACATTCGTCTCGCGATTTTCAACCAAACTGTGCAATTAGTTTTTTTTGTCTATATTTAATACTCCATGTATGTGCCGCAAGATTCGATGTGATAGTTTGAGGTGAAAATTTTTTTGAACTAAACCAGACCTGATCCACTGCGACGTCTGCAGTCTGATTCCCTACAATGTTTCCTGTTGATTGCAACACAAAACAGAGGCCGTCAATGAAACAGGAAACTTCAGTCGTTGCAGCAGACAACAAGGCACCGCTCCCGAGTCTGGCGGGTCGAGTACAGAGAGGGCCATTTCGTGCGCCTGCGCATCAGGCTCTGGCAGTTGGAGCAGACTACACTAGTCGAAGCCGAGCTTGCGTCATTCGGCCCCCCTCACACAGCACACCGCCGCTTGGCCGAGCAGCGTAATCCGACGCACCTAACCCTACCCCTTCTTTCCCTTTCTATCTTTGAGTTGTTCTTTTTGGTTTATCCGAATGGGGAAAAACTAGGGTTAGGTTTAGGGACGGAGCAAAAAGCCGGGCACGCACAGCCGAATCTGAATGTACTCCAAGCGAGAGGTGATTGCTACCGTACCTGGGGTGTGCACGAATGGGTCCCAGCCTCCCAGGTGGAGGGGCCGCGGCGCCCTCGACCTGGTACGCCGACGTCGCGGTCCCGAACACGAAGCCCCTGGGAAACGCCGCCCGGCTCAGCCCGCCCAGCCAGCTCGCTCCTCCCCCCGCCGCCACCTGCATGCGCGCCGCCGCACGCCACCAGCAGCGCCGCCGCCCACCGGGCAACAACCATCTCTTCTCCCCTGCCGCACAGAGCAAGCAACTCTCACTCTGTTTGCCCACTAGCTCCGGACTCCTGGTAACGGTTGGGTGGCAGTAGCACTATTGCTCCTGCAGTCCTGCTAAGCTAGGGTCGTCACCACTCCAGTCCCCGTCGCGGCATCTTTTTGATGTGAACTTGGCCGTGCACGCACCCGAGTTTCGACGTCGACGATATCCTCTTCCTGACTACGACGGGCCGACGCGGCTGGTGCGGGCAGCGATTAACTTATCCAAGCGCATGGCTCGTGCGCGTCTACTTTCCTTGGAGGCTTACGGGTCGCCCTGTCGGTTTCAGTGGCTGGCGCGATCCTCTTCCTCCTTTTTTTTTTGATGAACCGGCGCGCCCCGTGGTGGTCTGCGGGAGTATGTCGCGGTGCGGGCTGTCTACAGTCTACTGTCTTGTTGACCGGTGAAACAGCACGTCGTGCGGACGGACTTGAATTATTTGGCTGGGATATCGAAGATTTCGTTGTGCTGCTACTGCAGGCTGCAGCTGCTAACTTGGGTGTACTCGTGCTGCCACATCGGAAGAACGTGGCCATGTGGGGAAGCGATCTGGACTCTTGCGTTTCCAGCGACCGCTGGATCAAGCACATTTGTTCGAAATCGAAATGGAACTGCTCCTGACATCCCGTTGAAGGTCACGGCCGGCCTCACGGAGCAGGTGGAAGCTCAGAAGCTGCGAGGAACCAGTAACCTATAGCATCGCAAGGATCACGAGCGTGCCTCTACGTGATTCTTTACCATTAGATCAATTGGGTTTCATCAGAGTTTTATAAGTATTAAATATGCTGATATGGCAGCATATCGATGAAGAGAGATGATAAGAATTTTATGAAAATAGAGATAGTTTCATGGGACGAAACTCTTCTGCACTATTTTCTAAAATATGGACGCGTTGAAAACCAAGCCGTGAAACCCCCAGTGATGCTGGCCTTATATATATTGCGCGACGCTGGGTTCGAAGTGAACGTAGCTATAACGGGCCGGCAAGCAGTGTAGCATCGCATATCTATTGAGCTTCCGATCCGTCCAAGCAGGCGACGGTTACCGTGTAGGCATCAAAGGATCATCAAATGATCCCATCGCTTCGGATAGGAATATCCAGCCGTGCGTGCGTGCGAGCCATGACGGACCAGCAGCAACCTTTTATATGAAAATGAAAACTCGGTACTCAGCTGCCAAAAAAGAACCTCCACTAAACCGGTGGCCACCATGACAATTGACAACGGACTCTAATCAACGCAGATACACGGAATGAGGCAGCTCAGCTCAATCAACACACGAAAAACACTATAAATATACGTTCAAAGCTGGCTCCTGAAAAATAAGCCCTCATTCATAGTCTCATTCCTACAACAGGTCTCTCATCGATGCAAACATGTCTTAAAAGCAACACGCTGCCATTCGCCATCCACTACAAAATTCACACTAGTAGGAAAAAAATATATTTCTAATTAAACCGAGGAAACCATGAAGACGGATGGAAGCAGAACACACAAGGACACGAACAGAGAGACCAGCAGGGCAGCGCCATTCGAGGTGGCTGACGGCGAACCAGCCGGGCGGGTGCCTGAACCGGTCTGCGGGGTGGCGGCCTTCGAGCCCGTCCCTGAGAGCATGTCCCTGAACCAGTACGCCGAGTCCTTGGGGTACCGCTTGAGCGTCGTGAAGTCGACGTAGACGATGCCGAACTTGGACGTGTAGCCCGACAGCCACTCGAAGTTGTCCAGGAGGGACCACGCGAAGTAGCCCACCACGTTTGCGCCGTCGTCGATCCCTTTCTTCAGCTCCGTCAGGTAGTTCTTGTAGAAGTCGATCCGAACCGTGTCGTGCAGGTACTCCTCACGTGTGAGGTTTCCAGGTTGATCCATTCCTGATATTATCATATTCATGGCACCATGATTTGTCAATGCGATTCATGGAAGGCAATGCAAGCATTTCGGGTGAAGGAGACAGGTTATTTCGGGTACCGTTTTCGGTTATGATGATGGTCGGATTCTGGTACTTTTCCTTTAAGTAGTTCACAACTCCATACATGCCCGATGGGACGATGTAAAGCCAAACTGAGTGCGCCTGCACAGGTACATTCATCATCAGAATTTTCGTGCTATTTTGCACTTGTCAATCTTGTAACACCAACAGAATAAAAGTAGGGTTCAAAGTAGTAACAGGGAGAAGCTTATACCAGCTGTCCAATTTGCACGCCATTTCTTTCAACTGCAAAGTTCAACATGGAAGGAAGAAGGTGATGATCTTCAGAAACTGTAGTGATACACATACAATCACATAGAACCAGAATCACAGGTTGGTGACTCACAGTTATATTGTACGCCCCAGTCAGACGAGTAGCTTGGTGGTCCTTGCTGAGTAGTTTGTTCATTTGAAATGTAGTATGTTGTATATTGATTGATCCCGAAATAGTCTGACGAGCCCTTGACTAGCTTCACCTGTTCACGTGTGAAACTTGGTAGCCGATCTTTCACAATGTCCTGCATTGTCTTCGGATATTGTCCATTTATTAATGGATCAAGAAACCTGAATCATGACCATTTGGTATGGTTAATATTGGTTAATATTGGTAACTGTGTTAAATAAGATATTGAAGTCTGTCACATATTGCTGTTAAGATCTTACCAACCAATATGGAAGTCCCTGGCCCTTTGCACTGCTGCTTGATCTTCAGTTGAGTTGGTAAGAGGTTCGTACCAGTTGAAGTCTAGAACTATCCCAACCTTGCCTTTCTGAGTTGCCTATAGAGAAAAAAAACTAACTTGTTCTGGATCATTTCCTCACAAAAGACTCAAGAAAATAATGGATCATTTCTGATCTTTTTGTTCTTTACTTTTTTTGGAGGGGGGAGTTTAAATTATATTGATGATAAAAAATGCAGAATATGCTTTACATATTGCAGTTTTTGCCACTAGATTCCTTAGGCACAAGAGGCAAAAATAGTTTTTTTTTGGTAAAATGCAACATAATACAGGATGGTCATTTGGGTTCAGTTTACTGAGAAAGTAGAAAAAACTAATCTGAGATACCCCGAATATACCATGATGCATTTGTCAGCAGTTAATCTCGTATGTTGGCATGTTGCTATTCGACATTTCGACTGATGTATTTTTTAGAAAAATGGACCATCATAGCATGTAACCAATAAGGACACCCAATAATTAACACTTGCAGGTTCAGGTTACTTGCTGCATATATGCAAATTATACTACCATTGACACTTTCAGTGTCAGAGCACCAGTTTGTACATTTTGTCACAAACATGCATACCTTCCTGGTACTAATACTGAAGTATCTGCAATAGTTCCTATTTGTTTATTCTTCTTTTTCATTGAAAAATACCTGGTATTTATTGCGGTATCTTGCAACAGCAGTAGCATGAGATAAGAGGATGTTATGAACAACAATGTAAGGTTCTGTCGATGAGTTCCCACCGGCAGTGCATTGTGTGCACCGATTAGGGGGGTTAATCCCTTTATCATAACCAAGGAATGATACTATCCTTGGCTCATTTAATGTGAACCAGTTCTTGACTCGATCACCAAAAGTCTTGAAACAAAAATCGGCATAGTCAGCGAATATATCCCTGCAGAACATAATATCCAGAAAAAGAACAAATGAAATGTATATCTAAAAAAACAATATCACTTCATAGTTCATACTTGACCATGTGGGTGAAAATACTAAGCCATCATCAAATTGGCCAAGATATTGATGCAAAATTTCAAAATCAAACCACTATCCTACCTTCTAATAGCTGCAACAGGACAAGTGACAATTTTTCCAGTATAAGTTCACACTATCAATCAACAATGAAGCTTTGAGTCTCAACTATAAAGAAACTTGACAGGATGGGGAAAGATCGCTCCCATGACTTTGCACTAAGAAGAAACCTCAGTGAAACTGGGCAACCCCTTACCCCGACCTCACCCTATAGGGCCGCACCATAACCTGGGCCAGCAACCACTGCTACTACCCCAGGTAGCACTGCACCATTACCACAAGCCGGCACCCTGCCACTATTTTTTTTGGGAGGCACAAAGAGTTCTTTTTTGGGTGCAAGTTGGGCCGGCAGGCTGGCACCAGTACTCGGTAACCAACCACCACAATACTAGTGTGTTTGCTTGAGTCTCAATTATATGTGTATACAATGTATCAAGTTCATATAGTACAAGACTCTTCACATATTTCAACATGAAGTAACAAAGACAAGAAGGCTGTTTCTCACTTACACAATTTTTGGGCCTAACCAGCCTTGGTACTTTTTCTGAAGTGCAAGCGGAAGATCATAGTGGTTAAGGTTGGCGTAAGGAGTAAGACCTGCTCAGTTTTGAAGGGAACATTCAGAGAGGGACATAATGTTTCTGTAAAATCTTTGAAGACTGAACTTTCATGCCTGAATCATTACCTTGCTTAATCATGTAGTCTATAAGATTGTTATAATACTGTACTCCTTCTTCATTAACTTTCCCTTCGCCATCTAGATAAACCAAGACACATCAATGGATCTAATAAGTAACTGGTGACTCATACAACTCAACAGTTAGAGTACATGGTGTTAGTAGAGTCAGATTTTATGCACCTGGGAAGATCCTGGACCAGGAGATTGAAAACCGGTATGCATCAAAATTTAGGCTTTTCATGAGATCAACATCTTCCTGTACAAGGATAAAGAAACCAAATATCAGACAAAAAAACAGTTAATTTCTAAATGAAGAATTAATTCTTGGTGTGAGATGTTTCTTGCTAGCTCTCTCAAGATTTCCGAAAATCATATACTCTAAGGCAGTTTGGCATGCAACAAGCCTAGCTAATGCACTTTTAGCTTTGCTCAGAGGCCAACACTACCTTAAGATTGCTTGTTCCCAGATTTGAGTTCACTTGGGATACTCTTTTGTTTTTCCACATTTGTTCATGTTTTAATAAAAATTGATTGCTACTACTACATAAATGAAAGCATCCCCATGGCCAGTAAAATAACTATCATGGTCTGATCCATCAACCAACTGAAAGTTTAAGCAATGAATTTAAAACAGATGTGGGGCCTTATTTGATTGCGACGTACCTTGTAGCGATGATATTCGTCTGTTGCAACATCTGCGTTCCCGTCTTCAGCAATCTTTCCTGTTCATTACAAACACACGCTAGGCGTTAGCATTCATAAATTATATTATAAGCTAAGTTAGGACAAGTCGGCAGATTCCATTTCCCATCCCTCAACTTGAGATTTGAGCACAAGTCTCAGCTCTTGCATCCTCACCACTCCCTGAGGCCCGAGCCAAACGTAATGCCCATATATCCAATTTCGGTAACATTCTAGTCATGAGAAGTCATCGACTAGTGTGCGTTGCAAATATCAGCAAATGATTACTTGGGGAATCACTATGCCAAGCAGTCAAAGAAGGATCTGCCTTACTAGTACTTGTATAGCACTTGCGACGGCGATGCGTTACCGGGGGTGTGGACGAAGGGATCCCAGATGCAGGGCCCGCGGCCGCCGGACGTCGCGGCGCCCTCGACCTGGTACGCGGACGTCGCCGTCCCGAAGATGAACCCCTTGGGGAACGCGTCCCGGCTCAGGCCTCCCGTGTCCGCCCCCACGGCACGGACGCGAAGCCCACGGCTGCCGAGCGGCACGACGGCCAGGGCCAGCAGCAGCAGCTGGATGCAGCGGCAAAGCGCTGCCGGTGGAGCCGCTGGCCCCGCGGCGCCCATCCCGGCGAGCAAGAGGCTAGATCAGCACGGTAGTTTCAGCTCAAGCGCGTGCGTGCGCCTCCTTCACTAAACTCACTCAACAGGTCACAGACGCAGTCAGTCAGTCAATCTGGTCGCAGTCAGTCATCAGCCGCTGGGCGCTGCCCGCTGCCCACCCGGGGCGGCGGTCGGGCACGTGACGGGGACTTCAGATTTAGCTTTTTACGATTATAAAGATAGGCACCTCCTTAAATAGCATCTTAACTGTTGCTGCTACATTTTCATCAGCAAAAAAAACAGATACAAAATGCTACTTTTGCACACGTGGCACGCCAGCCCTCGCGCCCACAGGGATCCAAGTCAGCGTACGGACGTCAAATGTCTCTCCAACCCCCGCTCTCTTCCTACTCCTAGCACGTTCGTCATCGGTGTCCTGATATGATCCTGCTGCCGTCGCCCGCGTCGAGGACAAGGAGATGTTGCGACTCGCGTGGAGGGGGAAGGGCCTCCGGTAGGGGGCCTGGCTGGCCGGCGACACGGTGGCGGCGCGGGGCCCTACCACGGCCCACCACTTTGAGGGGCTGGGCTCGGTGGCCATAGGGCGCCGGTGGCCGCTTGCTTGTCTGACGACTGCTGTGTGAGAGAGGCCTTGGCGGGCTAGGCTAGCCCACACGATCGCATGGGGGTGTGGCGGCTCTGCTCGCTTGGGAAACCGAGAGGCGGGCGCGACGACGGGAGGGCAGGGCGCGGGGGGGGCTCGGTGGTCTGGGTCAGCCCACACTACCGCGTTGTGGCGGCGGTGGCGGCGGTGGCTGCCCTGCTCTGCTCGGAAAAATGAGAGGCAAGGGTGCGATGACAGAGGGGCCCATGGGACATGCGCCGATGGCCATGACCGTGTCGCCTCTCCACCTCGCTGCCGGCGCCCGCGTCGAGGACAAGGAGACGGCGGCAGCGAGGCGGGCGCCGGCAGCGAGGCGGCCAAGGAGATGGCGGCACCGGTGCTCTGCAAGCTCACCGAGAACTCGGACAACGCGTGGGCCGTCGTGGTGCACGGCGGCGTCAACCACGACGCCGCTTTCGACACAATGCACGGACCATGGAGCGGCAATGGCGAGCTTCGTGTCGCAGCGTGTCTTGGTGTCTTGGAGCCTCGTGAGCGTCGCCGACGAGATCGAGCGGCGCGACCGACCTCGTCAAGGTGGCGACTCACGGGGGGGCCACGACGGAGGAACGAAGCATCATTGTCATCGACATGGTGCTCGCAGGTGGCGGTGCTGGAGCATGAGGTCGTGGGGCACTAGAGCCTAAAGCCATGCTGGAGCTTCGAGCAGCTGTGCCGCGCCGGCGTCGCAGAAGATGTCACCGCCATGGTCATCGTTGTCGAGCCTAAGGAGGGGATGCAGCTGGTCCCTTCGCTCCTGTTTGAGCAGCCCCGTGGGCGGCTTTCGGCCGCCGAGGCGCCCCATCGTCGTCTCTCTCTCTCCACGCGGCAGCGAAATGCGCGCCGCCATTCTCGTCGGAGGAGCCGCTTCAACGCGATCTCCGATGGCGACCTCATGGCGCTTCAGCCGCTCAACGCGATGTTGGCTTCCGCTCATGGCGCTTCGGCCGGCGTCCGGTTGGCTCGCGTCGACGAGGCGCCCGGAGGAGGCTCGCGTCGCGCGGCGATCCAGGCGCCAACGCCAGGTACGTCGCGCGCTGCCAAGGTGCGGAGAGGTGAGAGGTGCACCGAGGAGCTCGCGCCGCTGCTAGGCCACCTATCGGACGTCGTCAACAGCGTGTTGCGCACCGCGCTGGGCCTCCGCAACGCCGAGCTCAGCTACTTCATGGCCCTCGTCGCCGTCCCCTGCCGGGAGCACGCGGTGCTCGGGAAGCCTGCCAGGGAGGGCGGTTATTCCTTGTACACGCTAGGAGTAGGAAGAGAGCAGGGGTAGGAGAGACATTTGACACCCGTATGCTGACTTGGATCCCTGTTGGCGCGAGGGCTGGCGTGCCACGTGAGCAAAAGTGGTATTTTTGGATCTGTTTTCCGTCTTTGCTGGTGAAAATATAGCGGCAACCGTTGAGATGCTATCTGAGGAGATGTCGATCATTATAATGATAAAAAGTTAAATCTCCCAACTTTTTTTTGCCATCCGACCTAGCGGGTTGCGGCTTAGCGAGCGAGAGCGAGGAGAGTTGATCTGTGGCATCTGCCTCCCTGCCGATGATGCTCGGCGCGCTGCTAATGATGATTGGAGCGGGAGGCGTGTCGCGTGCGTCGCGAGAGGGTTATAGCATGTTCGCTGGGCTGATATGCTAAAGTATTGTTGGTTGATTTATTGTGAGAAAAAAATAATGTTTGTTGATCGAAAAAATGTACTGCTTATAAGCCGTATAACGGGGCGATGGTGGCAGCCAACTCAGGCCTGTCGGCGTGGCCGGGGGTAGCCGGGTAGGTGCGATCTGGGTTGGTGATCCATTGGTCCGTGGAGGCGTGGACCCGACACCAGCGTGGCGGTCGCACATTTCGCGGCCCGCGGTTCACGGCTATGTCCTCGGCTCTGTGAGCAGTGATGCACGGTAGCGTCGTACCGTGCCGGGCGGTCTTGCTAGCCATCACTCACTCGTTGCTGTCTGAAAGGACCGAACGAACAATCCGTGAGCTGTGACGCACTACAGAACGTACGGTAGTGGATCTGTGCTAGCTGTTTGTTCCCTCCGGTAAAAAAAAAAAGTTCAGCCCGGTCGCATCTAATCTTCGATAACCAAACGTAGCCTAATTACAAAACTAATTATATAATTATAAAGATTAAAGCTAATTTACCAGACGAATCTAGGAGATCTAATTAATTCATGATTTGACAATATAGTACTACCATAAACATTTGTTAATTATTGATTAATTAGGCTTAATATGTCCTACCTGCCACGACTAAACTTTGGTCAACGGTGAAACATTTGAAGCGAGTGTCCTCATTTTTTGAAGGGATAAACCAGACTAGATCCAGTCTGAACAGGTCGAGTCGAGCAGATGAACAGCACGAGCACGTGATACCGCAAACTGGCTGAGAATGACTCGACTTCGTCAGTCAAGCCGATGCTTGCACTTGCGGCTTGCATGTGATGTGGTTTCAACCGGGCGGCACATGCGTTCCCAGCTTTCCCCCTCTACAGATTACAGGGTGGGAGCTGGTTAACACCTGAACCCCCTTTAAATCATCCTTATACACATAATAAAATACAGGCACGTATCAACACCAAGTGGCACAAATTTTGCTAACAAGCTTTGCAACAATGTCTTGCATACATATAGTTACATGTCAGCCCTGCGACGTCGACGACAAGCTGAAGCTCCGTGTGACCCGACGTCGTTACCTGCCGGCGGACAGTTCGATCGCGTCCTGGTTGTAGACGGAGTCCTCGCCCCAGTCGAACCGCTGCTGCATCCGCTCGTAGTCCTGCCTCCTCGTCACCTCCACCTGCTGCCACTCCTCCCACCTCTCGGCGAGGCCCTCGCCTTCCAGCATCCGGACCACCTCGGACATGGACGGCCGGTCCTCGGGCGAAGCTTGCGTGCAGAGCAGCGCGATCTGGATCATCATCTCCACCTCCTGCCCGTTGTAATTGTTGTTCAGGTTGCGGTCAACGATGGCGTCGAGATGCCCTTCCCTTTGCAGCTTCTTGACCTGCAAATTTGCAGCAAGATCGTAAGTGTATTGCGAAGAGAAATCTCATGCGATGTGTATGCTTGCATCAAAACACTGAAAGCTCTTCGTACACAGAAGCGGTTCAGACAACAGCTACGGGAGATCAATTATACAAGAGATAGGAATCGGCTTACATGATCAAGTAATAACACATCATCTTCTTCCTCCAAACGTGAAAAGTCGATGGCACGCTGACCAGTGACTAGCTCGAGAAGCATTATGCCATAGCCAAAAACATCGGTTCTCTCGGATGACTTCCCAGTGGACAGATATTCGGGGGCAATGTGACCCATGGTTCCACGGACCTGAGTAGTCACGGATGTCTTCTGTACATCCACCAGCTTGGCCAAGCCGAAATCACCAACAACCGGTTCAAAACCTTCATCAAGCAAGACATTGGCAGCCTTGACATCACGATGTATAATCTTAGGATTGCAGTGCTCGTGCAAATACTCCAGTCCACGAGCTGTGCCTATAGCCACTCGCTTCCTTGCAGACCAATCTAATATTGGCTCCCCAGGTTTAAATTCTGAATCGTTGACATGATAAGCACGTATTAGATGACGACGTATTACAGCAAAATCATCACTATGAAAGGGAAATAGTATAGAAGTGGTGAAAGATTTGTTTGTTAAAAATAAAAAGTGGCAAAGTTTTCCACTCATTGAATGCGTATACAGTGAAATATAAATTAATGCAACTAGCTATCCATACATGGTAACATGGTGTAGCTATGATGTAATGTACTAGAAATAGTAGACTATGACCTGTTCAATCAGCAAAATGGAACAGTTCTGATACCAAAGAGGTCCCTACTGAAAAACACTTTACATATCCTCAACAAAAAGATGCAAATCTCTGCTAAGTGCTAACCCACTCTGTAGGTTAACTGGATGACAAATCTCAAGCATTACTAGGTGACAAATTGCTGTACGCACTCTGTAGACCAGATCTCACCTACCTGGTAAATTTAGATCATTTTAACACTGTATTACAAACCAATAGTGCAGAATTACATCTAACTTAGAGCATATGAAACATGTATTTTCAACAAAGAGTTACCTAAAGGGGCAACTGAACTCACTATGCTAGCTTCTAAATACATGAGTTGCATAATCTGTAAGCACACTCATGGTCTAAGTAACTTCATAGAGTAGTAACAGTACAGAACTAAATGCAATGAAACAAGTGATTAGCTAGTTAAGACTTAAAAAAAGAGAGTACCTCGCAGACGGTAGGCCACACTAAGATTCTGCATGAAAGGATAAACAAGTAGGCGCTCTGTTTGTGTCGTGCAGAAACCAATCAATCTTAAAAGATTCCGGTGAACTGCAACACTGATCAGCTCAACCTCACGCAAGAAAGCAGCCTCTCCACCAGGACTCTCATAATCAGTTAAGCGTTTTACAGCAATCTTAGTGCCATCTGGAAGTGCTCCTTTATATACTTTCCCAAAACCCCCTTGTCCAAGAACATTTTTCTCACTGAAATTATCAGTTGCAAGTTGCAATTCTCGCCATGCAAATCTTTTCAACTGGCCAAATGCAATTCTACGATCATCTTCACCTGGGGAGCATAAATTATCCGTTCAGTTAGTTCAATGCAAATCTTTTGAAATGTGGAATTTGAAAGATTGGCAGTGTCTTAGGAACACATCTAAATATGCTAGTTTCTAGTGTGCCATCATCAGTGTTAAACTGGTACAGTAAGCAGAATATGCCACTCCAAAGACGTACAATGGCATACATAGGCCAGTTCTGGAAACCATGGTTTTAATTAATCATTATACCTAATTCTACTTGAGCTTAATTTTTTTTTCTTTAAAGAGAACTTAGTTTCAGCGCTCTACATATCAGCTTTAACTTATTGGTTTCATTTCTTTGTTTAATACGTGATGAAATTATGCGGATTGCAGTATTTTTTTTGCTAATGAACAAGTGTAGCTGCAGCAAGGTGATGATATAAAATGCAGCTTATTCACTACCTGATACATCCACAAATACTTCACGTAGATGGCTTTTCCTCCTTCCATTACAGATAATGAATATAGCCCCTATGATTAGAAGCCCCATCAGACCTCCAACTGTTCCAAGCACAATGCCTATTGTCGAACCACGGGATGAACCTATAAAAAAGCGACAATATTATCAGATGCCTCTAATTATTTGACAAACGTCTAATAGGGAGTCTGTTCCCTGTGCTATTTGACAAATGTACAATAAAGAACACAAAAATGCATGTCTTGTTACCTTGGTAAGACATATTTGAGGCACACGGATGGAGGAAGTTTGCTCCACAGGTCAAGTTATTACCTGAAAAACTGTGAAGTAAATAAACCTTTGTTAGCTCTCAAAATTAGCACGCATGGACGCCACATAAATTTTATAATGATCACTTATTCCACAGTACTTGTAACGTGCAACTTGAAACAGCTGGGGAGGTATTTGACCAGTGAGTTTATTGTAAGCCAGCCGACTGCCATCATATGAAGAAAAAAGTTGGTATAAGACAAGAATTTAAGTCTTGTGAAGAAAAAAACTATCATTTGAGTGCTAAACCTTACATGTCTGTCAAGCTTGAGATGCTTGCTAGTGTATCAGGAATAGAGCCATTGAGATTGTTTTGACTTAGTATCCTTGTTAAGAAACAGAAACAGAAAACAGGAATGTCAAGTCATTGAATGTCCATAAAACAAATGAATAAGGATTCTAGTACATACAGAAGCTGGAGCTTTGAAAGCCTGCCAAGAGAAGCCGGTATTGGCCCAACCAACAGGTTGTCTTCCAAATCTAAGCTTGTCAACTGAGAGAGGTTGCCAAACTGCTCTGGTATGCCACCAGTGATGTTGTTACCAGGCAATGACCTGCAGTATCATACATTACATTGATCAACAAAACAGGGAATTCATTGCGACATGATATAACAACAAAGCCATTATTTCATCTAGCAAGCCAAAACACACACACTAATACTTAGTTACTTTTAGATGCTAATTAGTTTGCAAAGAATCGTAAGCACAGTAATCAGTAGCAATTACAGCACAGCCACTACCTAAAATATTTAGGTGCATCATCAATCTAGAAGAGTGCACTTACAGAACATTTAAATACTCCAGATCTCCGATTCTTGGTGACAGAACTCCAGTAAACCCCATAGAAGCCAATGTTCTGCAGGAGGGTATCAGGAAGGTAAACTCAGAAAAAATGGAGATCCTATCATATAGCTCAATGATGAATTTAGCACACCAACATATTGCAGGTTGAACTGCAACCGCATCAAAGTTAATAATTACATGCTAAAGTAAATGCCTCTCAACTGATATTTGGAGCTGTTAGAGACCTTAAGAGCTTATCGTAATGAATGTAGGAAATGTAATACCAAATAAAATTAGCTCCGAACTAAGTGATCTATTCGTCAACTAATCGAAGTACAAAAGTTAAAAATAAGAGTGCAGAGAAAAAAATGCCGCAACTTACACTTGCACAACATTGTTGTTATTGTCACAAATAACAGAATTCCAAGTGCAAGGGTTAACTTGATTTTGGTTCCAGTCAGAAAGCTGATTGCCAGTAGCATTTAGTTTCAGCTTCATATCGTACAAGGCATCACCTAAGTAAACAAAAGATTCTTTGTTACTTGCAAGAGCTTGAAAATTATGTGTTGATAGTGAACTAAAAAAAGTGAAATACACATATGATAGGCATGTGAGTAACCTTGACGATCAGATGCTGAGAATGGGAGCAGAGATGCTATAACTAGAATAATGTAGAGCAGCTCCATCTTTCTTTATTATTACTGTAGCAGCAGAGGAGTTCCTTGGAAAGCTTGCCTGACCAGAAAACATGCACAAACTGATCATGTTAGTGGTCCGTGCCTGACCTGGTTAACCAACAAAATCAGTTCGTAGTGGAATACAGAGCACACAATAAATGAAGAAGTAAGGCACAGACATGGCAAGTTGTCAAATACAAATGCTCGCACTTGTTTGAACTGAAAGAAAATTAGTATCCACATCTGATCAGCATATCATGGAAGAAATGCAAGTGTTGTCCTGAACTCAGACCAGAGCACACATCTGTTTAAGAAATTAGCCAAAACAGATTTTATAATGCATACAGTGAAGCAGTAAAACAAGCATAGTTTATTTATAAATAAGATACTAGTACAGGACAAAAAAGAAATATGCACCCATTTCAGGTACTGAACAAGAGAAGCCCCACCCCCTCAGTTCCCCCAGTCTAACCCAACCAACCAGTTAGCTAGCCCTGAGGTGGTCCCAAAATCTCTGGAGTCAACCCTGAATTCCCAATTTCCAACATATTAGAACCCGAATTTTGATGTCTACAAGGCACGGGTATAGAAAGATGCCGAAATGATATTGGAGAAGTTAATTTCATGAAATCGCCTAAACAATTAATCAGAATGGAATCCCAGCCAAAGCAAGCAAGCGCGCACAGAGAGAGCTAGCATCAATTCGAGAGAAACAACGGAAGCGAGTTAAAAGTGGGCAAGAGCTCCAAATACTTTATCAGCGATTCGTTACAGAACTGAGAGCTTCGAGAACGACGGAGCGAGAAAACACACACGCAGAGAGAGACCAGGGCTCGCTCGCCCGCGCCGCCGCTCCGTCCGCGACCGCGAGATTCGGTGGCTCACACCGCCTCCCTCATCATCATCATCTTCTGCTCTGCTCCACCTCCACCACCACCGCGGCCGCCGCGCGTGTGAAGGCGTAGGTGGTGGACGACTCGACCAGCGCCGGAATTGATCCCTGATGCTGTTCCGAAACGGGAGCCCATCGCTTTTTTTTTTTTCAGGCGCGCGCGATTCGGGAGGTAGCAGCAGGGCGTTTGGTTCCGCCTAGGGCCTTTTGGCACGGCTGATGCTGGCTTTAGCTTCATCTATTTTACGTAAATCGAGGTACTGTAATGTGAAGCCGTTTTGTAAGTCGGGATTAAAATGAATTAGAAGCCGAGAAAAGCTAGTGTCGGATACCATAAGAAGTGGTACCCTGAGCAAGAACTAAAAATACTGCTTAAGCCTTGCAAAAATCAAAGTTAAAGGACAACCATGAGGTATCGGCCAATTCTCCGATTCGCCTGAGGCTTACGCCGAGGCCTCAGACGAGAGGCCAAAGCCCTCCGCCTTGTCGAGGCCCTCTCGCCGAGGCCCCGCCCCGTAAGGCCTCGGACGGGATACCGATTCTTCTATTCGCCCGAGGCTGGGCTCAGCAACGACCTCATCACCTTGACCTCGACCGGCTCCTCTGACAAAACGTCGCGTCCAGATTAATGCGCCCAACTACTCCCGCAACGTCAGCCACACACTGGAACAGTTCGGGCAGAACGACTGACGGGACAGGGGACCGGGCGCAGCAGGGGTTACCTGCCACTGTGCTCATCACTGTGCCCCCTGCTAACACCCATACTGCCCTGTGCCACATAACCCCTGTGCCAAGGACAAAGCGGCGTGGAAGGTCAAGTCCATATCCCTGTAGTCTCGGAAACCGCAGGAAAGCCCAACTGCTCGTCCTCCACCTCGTTCGAGACCCCCCGGCAGGGCATCGGACGTACTTTTCCTTCTCCGCTTCGGCCGAGGCCGGGCTCGTCCCGCATCCTCGTCGACTCCGCCTCAGCCGCTCCTCTGGCGAGTCGTCCCATCCGTGTAAGTGCGCCTGGTCACACCTACTACGACAGCCACGATGGGCAGGGTACAGCAACAGGGGCGATGGGACGACAGTCAAATCTCATTTTTACCATCCCCTACTGACGGTGCAGGGATTACCGTGCCCTGCGGACACCCGCTCCGCACTTTTCCACCTGGACCGGGTACGACGCGGACCATCGAGACCCCCGCACCACACACCGGTCACCTCCGAGGCCTCGGCAAAGCAAGCCTCGGCGCGGTCAGCTACAGCACCCGCTAGGCCTCGGCACTCCACCAAATCGAGAATCCACGGGGCACGACATGTCTCCTGCCGTGGGGGCCATACTGACTAGACATCAACAAGGACCCCCACGACCTCAACAACTTCAAGCCTGGCCAGCACGGCGCGTCAGTCAAGTACCAATTGTCATTCCCAACACCATGCTGCTACAAGACCGAACTACGGTAGGCTCCACATGTAGCTCACTCGTGTACTCCTGGCTCCCTCCTTGCGGTTATAAAAGGAAGCAGCCAGGGATAGCTTGGGGGCGAAGAAAAACATACGGAAGAACGACGCTCTCACACACGCGCAAACAACACTCTGTAACACACGCTCTCGCAAGCTGCCCGAGAGCAACGTCTCAAGCAGCCCGCGCCGTCCCACGCCGAGACCCGGGACTAGCTCCCTCTCTCACCCAGCTTTGTAACCCCCTACCACAAGCACATCGGTGCAAGGAATACAAGATCGATCTCTCAGACTGGACGTAGGACGCCAATTGTCTGAACCAGTATAAACCTTGTGTCTCTTTGCATCACCATCCGGGATTAAGGGCATGCAGTTCAAATTTACTAGTTGGTTGAGGACCCCCCGGTCCAAAACACCGATAGTTGGCGCGCCAGGTAGGGGCCTCTGCGTGTTAGCTTGATCGTCCCAACAAGTTCCGAATGGCTGACCCCATACGCCCACTACGTCTCGGCACGGTGATCTGGTTTGGGAGCCTAGAGTTCATATCTCTAGGACGTGAGTACGACCTAGTACTCCTCCCACCCAGAGCCCCTCTAGCCGACGACGGCGTCGCGCACCAGCAGCCCGGGCGCAGGCGGCGTCTGGGCCGCCGCTCTTGTCGCGCTCGCCAGTCACGGCGCGAGCGCGACCACCCCGACACCGCACGACCTCAGGGCGACACGCCGCGCTCCGCCGGTATCCCGTGCCCGTCTGTTGGTACGAGGTCCCTGGTTGGGGACCTGTCTGGCCTAAGCTTGGGTAGGGGAAAGACACCGGTGACGCGCAGCGACGCCCCATCATCAAGTTTCGTACCGCCACCACCCGAGGAGCCAACTACGGTAGAGCAGGGCCCGGCGATGGCCCCGTCTTCATACCCTTTCGGGTTGAGAAACGCCGCCGCCGCCGCCTACGCTTCCGCTCACATGGAGCCCTCGGGACTCCACCGACGATTCGCCCTCGACTTTTCCACCACAACCTCGACCCACACCCACAGTGGCTCCTCAGAAGAGGACAAGACGTGGGCCGGAGCGGACTTCTCCGGGCTTCACGACCTCGAGGCTATGCGCCGCTTTTTGGCCGCAAGCGACTACTGCTTCGGCTACTCCGACTCCGATGACGAAGGCACTTACGATCCCACTCGAGAATGCTTCCACATCGGGCTCGGAATGCCAGGAGCAAATAATGAGAATGAAGGAGCAGGCAACCGCTCCCTGCTCTGACAAAGGGCAGGTGACGCCACACCCCCGCTCGTCGAGCTTCGGGCAGCACGGAACGTGCACGCCTCCCCCGAGGAACTTCGACGCCTAGACCTGGAGCAGCTCCGTGAGCTCTAGGCAAAGATCGACCAAGATCGACTCCTGCTGCAGCAGCTCCGAGACACTCTTGAGCAGGAGCAGCAGGGTCGCGGTGATGGCGAAAGAGCCCGGCAAAGGGCCCACGACGTACACCGTCGTATCAACAACGACGAGGGGAGTGAGCAACCCCCAATCTTCAATCGCGCTAGCTAGAACGTCGCGGCAGCGGCAATGCTAGTCCGGGCGATGCCCAAGCCCTCTACCACGGAGGGGCGACGGGTTCGTGGCGAGCTCCGTGACCTTCTTGAGACCGTCGCGGTACAGCAGGCCGAAAGCTCCGCGTCTCGACGGCATGAGGACACCTCGAAACGGCCCTCAGTGCACGACCACCTCAAGGCCCCCTCAGTGCATGACCGCCTCTGCGACCGACGCGAGGCGCAAGATGACCACGATGTGGTCAGCAGGCGACGACGCCACGACGACGATGGGCCCGCCCGAGGCTATCACCCGCACCTAGGCGGCCGCTACGACAGTGGCGAGGACAGCAGTCCTTCTCCTAGGCCACCTGGCCCTCGAATTTTTAACAAGGCCATCCGCGGCGCCCCGTTCCCCGCCTAGTTTCGGCAACCGGCCAACCTCGCGAAGTACAGCGGCGAGACCAACCCCGAGTTGTGGCTGGGCGATTACCGCCTGGCTTGTCAGCTAGGCGGTGCAAACGATGACCTGCTCATCATTTGCAACCTCCCTTTATTCCTGTCAGATTCGGCGCGAGCTTGGCTCGAACACCTCCCTCCCTTGTAGATCCACAACTGGCGCAACTTGGTAAAGATCTTCGTTGGGAATTTTTAGGGCACATACGTGCGCCCCGAGAACTCCTAGGACCTCAAGAGTTGTCGCCAAAAGCCGAACGAGTCTCACCGAGACTTCATCCGGTGATTCTCCAAGCAGTGTACCGAGTTGCCCAGCGTCGGCGACTCAGAAGTGGTCCAGGCTTTCCTCTCCGGCACGTCTTGCCGAGACCTAGTCCGAGAGTTGGGCCGGAACGTACCAACCTCAGCGGCCACGCTCCTCGACATCGCCACCAACTTTGCCTCGGGTGAAGAGGCCGTCGGGGCCATTTTCCCCGAAGGTGACACAAAGGGGAAGCGGAGGGACGAGGCCCCCGGGGCCTCGGCCTCCCGTTTCCCCAAGAAAAAGAAAAAGGGACGCCCGGGGAAGCAGGAGGCCCTCGAGGCCGATTTCGTCGTAGCCGCGGATCGCAAGAATCTCTGAGGCCCCGGCAGGGGCCCCGAAGTATTCAACGATATGCTTAAGAAGCCCTGTCCTTACCACTA